AGKGAGTGGTTTTCCCCATGGCTGGTGAGCTCAGGCAAGGGTACAACCCACCAGGCTTTTTTCTCATTTTTCTCGCAGAATGGGGTGGGCTGGAAGGGACCTTAAAACCTCATTCCAACTCTTCCTTTCACTGGCAGGGACACCTTCCACTGTCCCAGGCTGCTCCCAGCCCCAATGTCCAGCCTGGCCTTGGGCACTGCCAGGGATCCAGGGGCAGCCACAGCTGCTCTGGGCACCCTGTGCCAGGGCCTCCCCACCCTCCCAGACAGCAATTCCTTCCCAATATCCCATCCATCCCTGCCCTCTGMCACTGCCAAGCCATTCCCTGTGTCCTGTCCCTGCAGCCCTTGTCCCCAGTCCYTGTCCAGCTCTYCTGGAGCYCCTTTAGGCCCCAAAAGGGGCTCTGAGCTCTCCCTGGAGCCTTCTCTTGTCCAGGTGAGCACCCCCAGCTCTCCCAGCCTGGCTCCAGAGCAGAGGGGCTCCAGCCCTGGCAGCATCTCCCTTTTTTTGGGATTCTCTCCAGCAGGTCCCTGCCCCTCTGCTGTTGTTCCCCAGAGGCAGGTGCAGTGAATTTCCCCTTGTTYGCACTTTTACTGATTCCCTTTCCAACAGAGCAGCCTTGGAGTGGCTCCAGCTCCCGGGAGCACCAGCACYGAAATGACAATTTTATCTTTCCGTGCTGTGTGGCACCAGTGGCCACGAGGCCCTCGTCTCCCGGTGCCATCAGCACASAGAAAGGCTGCCTGAAGAATACTTTTCTTTGCAGACCTTGGGTCTCATGGCTTGAATCTGCTCTCTTGACATGAGCTGCTGGAGCGGAAGGAGACCGGCTGCAGCCAAAACGGCATCACTACCCAGACTTTGGACATGGCTTGAGAGCTCTGCTCTCAAAATAATGCGTAAAAATAGAAGCAGGGCCACAAGCTTAGCTCTTCCTAATGTGCACAAAGGGATGGGAGAGTGCCAGAAGCCAGCCTGTGCTGCCTCTGCCCTGCCTTCAGCCTGGCTTGTTCTCTCCTACCTCCCCTGAATGGCTTTTCACTGCTGTGAAAAGGAGASACATACCCCCAAAAGAGCAAAGTGTGTTTGTTATTGACCCTCGCCTGGAAAGTGTATGAAGAGGGATCAGCTCTGTTTGTTTGTACCCGGTAATGATGTCAGGAAAAGGGKTTTTTTTTTCCCAAGTCTGGTTTTATCCCCTTTGTTGGAAGTGCCTTTGGTGAGTCTCACACCCCGGTGCTGTTAGCAAAACAATTAGGTTAACAGTGCCTTGGCTCCAACTGTCTGTCAAAGGCTGAATTGCAATGCAAATTAACTCGGCTTCAGCTCTTCAAAGCCAGCTGGGTTCGGGAGAGGTCCCCAGAAACCCCCGTGAGAATGGAGAGCTGGGGCTGGGGAGGGTGGGCTCGGTGGGATTTCACATCCCGGACCTAATGCGTTTGGCAGGAGGGATGCAGTGCGACGTGCAAACACTTTATAAAAATGAATACGCTKTATAAATCCTTTCAATACTTAAAAAGGGCTTAGAAGAGAGATGGGGACAGGCTGTTTAGTGGGGTCTGAAGCGACAGGGCAAGGGTGGTGGTTTTAAACTAAATGATGGGAGATTCTGACTGTGCAGAAGGGGAAATCCTTGTCTGCAAAGGAGGTGAGGGTCTGGCACAGGCTGCACGGAGCAGCTGCGTCTGCCCCATCCCTGGAAACTTCCAAGGCTTGGCTGGACGGGKCTGCAGCAACCTGGKMTGGTGGAAGGTGTCCCARCCSTGACAGATGAGGTGGAATGAAATGAGCTTTAAGGTCCCTTGCAGTCTAAACAATTCTTGAATTCTATGACTCAAACATATTTTATTTCCCCTCAGGGATTAGCAGTGCCCTTGATGCATTTCAGGGCAGGTTTCTGGCCCAGGCTGACATTGGAGCGCTACATCCAGAGCAGGGCAGGCTGTGGGTTTCACCCCCCTTTCCAAGCGTCCCCTCAGCCCAGGTCCCATGTCCACACTTATCAGCTTCATTATGCTTATTTCTGTATTTTCCATATGGGCACATACATATGGTCTGTTTAAACAAGTTTGCAGGGTTAATTGGAAAGCAGCTCTTTATCGGTTATTTAATATTTAGCACTTCTGGGGCAGTTCTCACCAGCAGAGATCACAAAACCAGGCGAGCTCTGTGGCGGGCACCCAGCTGTGCCGACAGGCAGCCAGAGGTGCCAAAGCCCCGGTCCCTACCCACAGGGAAAGGCAGGTGCCCCARGTGACCCGGAGAACTTGTGGCAGGGCCAAAAGATTATATTAACTCCTGGACACTATTCCTGTTTTTTTTCTGTCACTTCCTTCGTGACAATAAAGTAATCGTAGTTGTCAGTGCTGAGGCAAGAGAAGCCACAAAGGGGAAGATAAAAAAAAAAAAAAAAAAAGAGAGATTTTAATCTCATTTGTAACAGCCTGGCAAGTTTTTAAAATTAAAAAGTATAATGTATGGATTAATGGACATGTCCAACGTGTCTTTTACCAGCAAATGTTGGAACGAGAAGGAACTCTTTTTTTTTTTTTTCCCCTCTCAATTTACCATATGCATCACAGGGAAAAGGGATTGAGGTTCTCGGAGGAAGTGAGAAAATTAGCCTCAGTGTGTGTGAGGTCACTTCGAAGGCTGTCGGACAAGATGAACTAAAAATATTACCGAAATTCCATTTTTCAGGGTGCAGAAGGGATAATTTTAAAAGCAATGGGATTTTTTCACATGTGCAGAACCAAATGCTGATGCTGTTCTGGTTCAGCCCCTGCTATCACCCCAAGAYTGCGGGGCTGTGCCCTGGGCTCAACTCCTGTCTTTAATTACTTGGAGGTGAGGTGAGGAGTCAATTGCCCTCCTCATACTCCAGCTTCCTAACGAACCTTCCTTAATTATTCTTTCTGACCCCAGCAAGTAACGTCCTTCCCCTCCCCAGTGTTTTTCCAACTATTTATCTGGATTTTTAACAGATTTTGTACCTGGGTAGGTATAGTTTGGTTAACATTTAATAAGCCTGCCCCCAAATCTAGCCGCTTTCTGACTAATTTAGATCCAGACTCTGTAATTGCCTGGCCTCTTTGTACCATCCCTGATCTGCTCATACGAATGTTTAATTAAGGGGCACTTAAATTACCCTGCCCTCCTGCCTACACCGAATTCAGGATCCAGGACSGGCACCCCGGGGATGTCCAGCCTGCCTGCACGGGGTGTTAGTTTGATGTGTCCCCTGTGTGGTGTCGTGTTTGGTTGGGTGCATTCGTTTCGGATTTGGATTTGAACTGGACTTGCTCACAGCAGCCATGATTTAAGAGCCCTGGCTCCCACTTCCGCCACGGTAACTGCCGCGGAGAGTGACCTTAAAGCAACTCATCCGCCCGCAGTTATTCTGTGAAAAAGGAGCTGCTCCTCCCTGGGAGTGCGTGCAGGACGGGGACCCCTGGGGAGTTCTGCTGCCCTGCCAAGCCTGGCGCTAGGAAGTCTGGCCGGACTTCCCAGCGCGACCGCAGCGGCACCAAGGCTGGACGAGAGCGCAGCCTCTTGGTGGCTCAGTTTTCCTCACCCTGTGCAGGTCCAGAATTGGAATGGGGGAATCTGCGGAGCACCCAGGGTGCCAGGGATTGTTACCACTAGCAGTATCCGTAAGGAAAATATCAGAGTGCTTCGTGTTTGGTGAGAAGCGGAGTGTACCGAGCCTCCATAGTGTATTTTCCCGTTCTTTGGTGACAGGTGTTGTAAAAGCACAATTATTATTATTACTGTTGTTATTGTTTTTAGTGATGTGCCCTCATTCGATAGCCATAACCATACCTTTTTTTTTCTTTCTTTTTTTATTTTATTTTTTTTTTTTAATTTTTACGGCTGATTTGGTTTAATATTCCAATATTTACAGTGAGAACCGGCACACCCCAACCCCGGGAGCTCCCCACCCTGTGCCCCGCGGGGTGCGGGGAGGGGACACCCCTGTCTCCCCGCACCCCCCACCCAGCAGCAGGTACGAAGCGGGGACACATCGGGAAGGGGGCGCGGCACCGGTGGGGGACACACACACGGACCCACAACCTCTCCGCAACCCGAGCCGCCTCTTGCGCAAGGCGGTTGGAGATAAATATAATATATAGATATATTTATTTATTTTTTTT